GACTGCATCGTTGCAATCAGGACATCGAGTTTGCCTAAGAGAGGACCCCTCGTAGTTAATCCCATCTTATATGTTCAGATGGGATTATCCGGTAGAGTGGCATGAATCCCGAGGCGACGACATGCAAATCGAGAAAGTTAGCACTTGATGTCCGGACTTCGCCTTTGCGCCCGGAATGCCGTCAATACTAAAAAGCTACACATTATGTGTTCAAATAGGATTGTTTGGCGGAGTGGCACGAATCCCGGTGTGACGATCGCAAAACAAGAAAATTAGCACGCGATGAAACATGTACCCCGAAGACCAGTACACATCTTTCTCTGACGTGGTGAGATTGAAGACTTACGGCCGCAGTGTCATCCGCCTACCATTCACGCTTTTCTCTAGCATGGTGGGAGGCCCAGACTCCTGGAATTTCCCCTAAACGGAGGAGACGCTGAGAAGCTGCCGAAATTTGGACTGAACATGGGACTTGTGAATTTGAACTGGATATAATGAACTTAAACGAACAAACAAAGGACGACAAAAAAATTGAACTTAAAATGCATTTGGACCTAATGACAATTAACAGGGGACTCAAGCAAATGCAAAAGACTTTGACTTGAACTTAATTTGAACTTAAATGAAAAAAAGGGAAAACTTGAATATGGAACAATTGGAAAAGGACTAAACAGAAGAACTTGAACTTGCACATTGAATGACAAACAGTAAAACAAGAGGTCCTCTGTATCTATTCAAATAGTTAAAAATAACTAGCAACTGAGCCAAGAATCACATTATTCTTGATTGAAACATGGAAGAGCATTCAAGATCATATCAGAATTACCTTGCTTCAACAAACCAAAAAAGAACAACAGGACCCAACCAAGAATTTAGAGAGTTCAAATGGAAGAATAGAAATGTATTGATGCATAGCTCAACTCCTAGATGGTGTCCAACCAGCATCAATGAAGTTAAAGAAGATCCAAAACCACTTGGAAATTCAAACCCTCAACCCTCAGCTATGGAAGATGAGATAGCTTCCTTGTTCCAATACCCCCCCTTATGAGTACTTGAGAAATATTTTGGTTATGATTTCTTATGTTATGTTCTAAATCCACAGACCCTTCTTACTACTGATGAATCAAACAAAAGCATCAACAATGAAGGAAAAGATATTTCATGTTTAAATCTTCCTCACAATCAGAACAGATCGTCTCCTCTTAAATTATATGTTCATGACTCTGCATAACAATATATTTGCCATGAGAACATTAACGTTGTTTTCTCTCATTAGTCAAAGCCAGGAAAGATTGGATTGGCAAATAAACTGCAGAAGACAATTCATTCGGTGGGATGAGAATTTTCTTCGATGATGACAATAAAATCAAGCATTTGTGGAAGCAACCAAGTTCAGAATTGTGTCGATCTAAATAGTAGCTTGAATAACAAAGCAAAAATTAGTTTGCATCTAAAAAAAATCAAAAGAAAAGAAATACTTGGAGAGAAGCTTTCTATCAGAAAGGGTAAGGACTGATACGCTTGAAGTAACTGGCACTTCATCATCTGGTGGGTTTGAATTTAGCATTAGAGCAACTCCACAAGAGATGAACAACCAAAGCTATAAAAGAAAAGGAGTATAAGTGGAAGAATCATGCAGCTTGAGTGAGGAAGGAGACTATGAATCTACGGATAGAAAGAAGTCAGTTCAAAGATCCCGTAGAACCCAAGCTGCTGAGGTTCATAATCTTTCATAAAGGAAAAGAAGAGATAGAATCAATGAAAAGATGAAAGCATTATAGGACCTCATACCACATTGCACCAAGGTAGATGACTCATTGCATGCAGGGAACATTGAATACATGTAATGTTCGCACACAAAAAAATGACGTGTTGATGAGAAAAAGATGTGTAATGAACACACAAGTGAAAGGGAAAGAATGAATGCAAAATATATCATGAATTATTCATAACTGAAGTACAGAAGATGCACAACGAATGAGGCAGTCAATCGTTAATATTAATACACGATCAAGCATATTATGCCCCATAAGCTGTAAAGATCAATATACAATGAATCGTTAATCAAATAGTATTTGGAAGATTTCAAGTCAATACAACTCGCATGTCGCATATAACCAGTGTTTTCAAATCGCAACCAATGGCGGCTCAATTTCAAGAGAACACATTAAGCTCCCTGGCAATCAACATCAGCTAACTCAGTTAACAAATGTGTTGGATCATTTGTGAGCAACAATGACTATCATACAGCGAGTGAAGTTGTTTCGTCGTGCTCGACAATAAAAAATGAATGCACTAATCCACTTGCGAGCAACAACAACAAATAAATTGTGCATGAGTCGACTTGCCAATCGACAAGCAAGAATGAAACAGTGGCGAATGCATCCCTATCAGGGGCCAATAAATGCATCAACCTCCTATGAAGACTGAAGGACCGAGGTGTGATGAATGAAACTCTGAGGTAATGCAGGAAGAAATGAACTTAAGTTCAAGTCCAATCCTCCTCCTTGATTGGACGGGAGTCGACACGACTTGAACCAGTGAACAAACATACGGCCATGACATCGATCAAGATGTTTTGTTTTATAGTTCATGTTAGGCCTTCAAGACCCATAACAAGGAAAATATATTAACAAAACCAAAAAGCCAATGACAAACCTAATCCTGTCAACAAATAGAGTCGACAATGTTCAATCAACAAATAAGAATTCTTCATAATACCCCGATGATGGTTGTGTTGAATATAGATCTCAACCGGAGGGATTAATTCCAAATATTTAATGCTTTCCCAAATGCCTGAAAATTCAGAAATTTCCAAAATCGAAAAAATTCAAATATTTAAAATTGAAATAAATCACCAAAATGCTTAAAGCAAAACTCATCCATCATTCGCAACAGTTTGTCGAGTTAGATAAATTTAAAAATGCACTTCAGCTCATAAAGAGCTTGTGTCTGGTCGAGAATATCACTGTGATTCATTCTCAAACAATCTCCTGCCAGTAAAGATGTGACACATGTCCCCAAATCGGTGGTTTTGCCGCCAAATGTCATCGCAGGTTAACGGTTATGATTGGAACCCTATGAACCAGGTGGCTTTATCACCAAATGACACCACTAAATTAAGTCATGGACAAAGCTCGTATGCTCCCCAATGACATCAAATCCTTGAGATACGAATCAATAGAATATAATCGATAGGGCATAAAGCCTTCTGTCAGCTAAGATGGATTCAAATTTGTCCCATTAGACAAA